CTCAGTAAAATCGGAAAACCATATCGTAAATCGTTAATTTGCAAAATATCAGTCCATCATATCGAACTGGACTGTTCCTGTTGCAAAACGTCAATCCTTTGTCACTATTCATGCGTTTCATACAAATTCCATTGTGTTCCTTTCTTGATCTTCCCCCATCTTCTGCTGCCAGACATTACGTTGACACTCACGTCATATACTACTTATAAGTAGCTCGCACCACAGTAGTAGTAGCTGCTACTTTGTTGTGGTGGTCGGGCTTACCTATCGTGATGACGCGACCGAACTATATTGGCTAGAAGATATGTTCCTGTAGGTTCCTACCATGACAGAGTCAGGTCGATTGGAAAACGATGAGATTAAAAGTAGCTACTCAAGGTAGAATATTATTTGCGAATGGCAAAATACTTTTATGGCATAAATATATATTTATGCATCATTCAAGACAATGAATGAATAAACAGCATGTAAGTTAATTTTGAATCGCGATTTACTCAGCCATAAGAAGTCAACATTAGAGTTAGTTTATATTATTAATTCATGAGTGTAATAAGTCATATTAGACAGAAAGAGAAAACTGCAATCAACTTTAAAGAAATGAAAATTTGGGAAAATCAAATGTCATCAACAAACAAACATTAGCCTAGCACATATCAGTCAATCAATCAATCAGTAGAAACGCAGAACTTTGTACGTACGTACGTACATCAATTTAGGTTGTTATATCACATTAGCACAGAGATGTAATTGTCAATTCAAATTCCATAGTAGTAGAGGTGGTAAAGGCATTTATTAGCAGTAATTGAACTATATTTTGCGATGTAGGAATAGGTTGGAAGAAAGTTAGGGGTGGCCAGATCAAAACATGGCACAAATCTATGAAGTCACTGTCAAGTGGAATCAGTGGTTTCAATAGGTGTTGACTACCTGGTTGGGGTCCGCGAGATGTTAGTAATCGACGGTTAGGGACCCTTATTGACATCACTCAAAACCGTTTGCAATGGCGTAAGTGCATCGTTCTTTGTGTTCTCTCAAATCACAAACTTTTTAATTCCTCATCACTTTATCTTTATCTTTTTACGTCTATTTAACTAGATTCTACTTCTTGAATAATATCCTCTAACCCTAATCTGTCCGATTACTGCTAATATCTTTACTACATCTACTACTATGGGATTTGAATTGACAGTTACATCTCTGTGCTAATGTGTGGTATGGCAACATGAACTGATGTACGTACGTACGAAGTTCTACGTTGCTATTGATTAATTGACTGATTAACAGTAATCGGAGAAATTAGCGTTGGAGGATATTATTCAAGAAGTATAATCTAGCACATAAATTTATATCCAATCAAAATTAATCTATCATATTTACACAAGATGAAATTAAAAAGGGATAAATAGTAAAGTATTAGAAATGCTGCTTGTATCAATGATATTCATAATAGGGAAAAACTAGCCACAATGAGATATTCATTCAAGAAAGAATTCATTTACATGAATAATAAGTATTAATCAATAATAATAATAATAATAATAATTTTCAATTAGGGTTATGGAGATTGGTTAGACTATAACATTAGAAACCTGAAAGCACTGAAAAACGGCCGTTGCGTCCGGGTATTATGAGATTCATTAGTGGCAGTACACATCCAGACAGACAGATATATACAACACAGAACTTCGTACATAAGTATATCAGTTCAGTTTGCCATATCACGTCAGCACAGAGACGTAAATTTCAGTTCAAATTCAAGAGTGATAGCGATAGTAGAAGTATTAGCAGTAATGGAGAAGATTAGGAAGCGAAGATATGATTCAAAAAATATAATTCAGTGAGATCAATTTAGAAGGAAAAAGACAGAGATTATGAGGAATTCAGGTTAAAATTAAAAAGCACACAAAGAGTAGATGCACCTGCGCCATTGCAAACGATTCTGAGCCATGTCATTCAAGGTCTCTAACCATTGGTGACTTTCGTCTCGCGGACACCAACCAGGTAGCCTACATCTACCAACATGAATCAGTCCACTTGTCAGGGACTTCATGCATTTCTGCCATGTTTTGGTCTGGCCGCCCCTAGCTTTCTTCCAACCTACTTCTACACCACAAAACATTGCTCGTCGAGGCAGTCGGTGGTTAGGCATACGTAACACATTTTCCAAACACCTCAACTTATGAAGTTTCAATACTTCATCTATTGATTTGCTATCCCTACCTAGAACTCGTTTCCCAACGATAGCATTGCTTACTCGGTCGTCAAAGGATACACGAGCAATGTTTCGGAGATATCGATCATCGAAGACTAGTAACCTACCAATGTCCTCTACTCTTAACGGCCATGTTTCGCATCCGTATAGTAGGACAAAGTGAACTGCTGCGCAGTACACTCGTCTTTTGATACACATCCAGAGGTTAGGTATTCGTGCGCAAGACCGAGGATCCTCGATTCAATTCCTGTAAGGTGCAGGAGTCGTGGAGGCGCACTGCCATTGATGAGTAGTCCCATACCAGGACGACACAGCCATGTTTCAGTGCTTCCAAGTTTCTAATGATGTAATCTAACAATTGACTGATTGATGATTTCAAATGTGTAATAATGATCACAATAAAAATCACAAACTAGAAAAATACAAAACAGAATGAATGCATCTACACCATTGAGACTAATTCTGATCCTAATATCAAGCAAGCTAAGGTCTCTTCTTCTAATCACTGTGATAACTGACTACTACTGCATCTCAATATTCTAATTTAAATAGTCAACACTGGGTGCTCGCTAACAAAATAATTCACACGAACGATTAAAATTTCTATAGAATAATTCCTTAGTTTTGGCACGGACAGCCTTAAATTTCTTCTAACCTATACCTTCTCATACTCATTGGTAGAGTAGAATATAAAAATTATTATGAGCAGACTGTAGACAGATTGATTGATTGAGTGATTAATTAAACTGGTTGATATTTTTCATTGATTAATTAGGTGGTGAACTAATTAAATGACAATTTTTTTTTATAAAGGCATATTTTCACATCAATCACACAAACAAACATAACAAGAATGAATATGTGTATAGACAATGTAAATTATTAAAAATGGGATTGACGTTAAGTTAAATGAAAAATTATTTGAATGTAGGATGACTACACAAAGGAATATACACACACACACACACACACGTTATCTACATAAATATGCAGTGCGAAATGGATTCTTTTTTTTCGGTAGTGAAATTAGTTATTTACGTTTAATAGGGTAAACTTGAGGTAATAAGAGAGAGAGAGAGAGAAACAACGTAGAACTTCCAGAGATACAATTGTCAATTCAAATCTCATTGTAGTAAAGGTAGTAGAAGTATTAGAAGTAATCGGAGGGATTAGGGTTTGAAGATATTATTCAAGAAGTAGAATCTAGTGAAATAAATTTAAAAAGAAAAAGATAGAGCTGATGAGGAATTCAGAAGGTGAGAATTCCAGAGAATACAAAGAATGAATGCACCTGCTCCATTACAAACGGCGTTGAGCTATGTCATTCCGGGTCTCTAACCATCGATTACTGACATCTCGCGGGCTCCAACCAGGTAGTCGACACCTACCGAAATGACTGAGTCCACTAGACAGTGCCATGCTTTGGTTAGGCTGCCCCTAGAGTTTTTCTAGCCTATTCCTACATCGGAAAACATAGCTCGACGAGGCAGACGGTGGTTAGCTAGGCATACTGATCAAGTTTCATTACTTCATACAAAAACGCAGACTTTACACAGTGATATGTTCAGTGTACTAGAATTTTGACACATTTTTTTTTAATAATAACATATCGACCTATTTACTAGAATTATATTCATATACTTGGCCTTAATCACAGTAGGATTAGGCAAAGTTTGAAAAAAAACAATATTCACTGATTTCAAGTGAAGTACCTAAACCATCAGCACTTCACCAACTTAACATTTCTTTCTTTTAAACTATGTGAAATATTGCTCAAATAAGATTAGGTGAAACAAAGTCGAACAACTGACTTAGCTGCCTTGATCAATGAGACGTTTCTCTACAAAGAATGCTCCCTATATAGTTAACAAATCCAACTAGATGGAAGATGGCATTTTAAATAATTGTATTTTTATTTGTAACCATGAATCGATCAATGTTAGACCACCATTAGAAACCTGGAAGCACTGGACGGCCGTTTCGTCCTGGTATGGGACTCATCAGCAGTGCGCATCCACGACTCCTACACCCCGCAGGGTTCGAACCCAGGACCTTCGGTATCGTGAGCTAACGCCCTAACTGTTAGACCACTGAGCCGGTATCTAACGGTGTTAATGTCTAACTTGATCAAATTCACGGAGTTGCGCAACCTCATACCCTGTATACATCCGAATAGGTTTGAACTTCACTGGTCACGGCTGATGAGTCCCAAACCAGGACGAAACGGCCGTCCAGTGCTTGCAGGTTTCTAATGGTGGTCTAACATTGATCAATTCATGGTTATAAATAAAACTTAACAATCTTCACAACAACCCCGCAATGCAGGTGTTTTTTTGTTCAAATTTCAAATTCCGCTTGAATCTTAATATTTGGTTGTCTAAAAAAATTGCGGATAGCATCCAACTACGCCACAAGACAAGCATTCAATTATCTATCACCCTCAAAGTCAAAGGAAAAAAGAGAAAGGCTAAGTAACAAACACATTACGCCGAGAAGTAGAGAAAGGCATGAGAAAAACGCACAAAAATTGGACAGAACTGGAAAGCGAAGCAAGCGCCCAGAACATAGTAGGTTGAAGAATACTGATCAGTAAGTAGCCTATGCTCTCCATTTGGGGGTAACAACAAGCATAAGTAAGTAAGTAATTTTCCAATAGCCATTTAAAGATTTCAAGTCGAACTAGAACAATAAAAAGCAGAATACTAAATTTTGAAAAAAATTAATGAATACTAAGTTTCGTCACTGTAAATTAGTTTTACTACTACTAGTACTACTTATAAAAACTTACTTGTGTATAAACAAGTGGAGGATTGACCCAATCATAAGAAAAGATTGTACCTAATTTACCACGAAATGATGTAATTTCATTGGTTAAAATTTCTACAGCTCTATCAAAATGTATATAACCTTCTTCACGAGCTTTTGTAACCATATCTAATGCCCATACTAATGGAACAAAATATAAAGTATATTCAGACGGTTGTGTATTACGATAAATATCCAATTCTTCTTGTGTCATTAAACCTGAACACAAAACAAAACAAACAAAAAAACGAATCAATAAGAACAGAACACTGTATGGAGAAAAAACAACTTCTTGATCGCATTTTAGTGTTACGCCTGCACGTAAATATGTCAATTTGATATTTGCTTGAACTATTATTACGAATTTGTTTACCTTAGTCACAAAAACGAGAGCAAGGAACGAGAATCCGGTGACACGACATATTACTCTAATCCTAGTGTTCCAACCTCCATTGACCCGACCGTAGCTGCTACCTTGATGTGGTGGTCAGGCTTGCCTATCTTGATGACCCAACCGAGCTATACTGGCTGGAACATATGTTCCTGAAGGTTCTACCATGCCAGGCAGGTCGATTGGAGAAAGATGAGACTAAAAGCAGCTACTCAAGGTCTGAGGGCGAAGTCTTACTGCTGACTGACTGAAGAGGTGTGTGACAACAGTAAGGTGTTTCCGAAGTATAACCAGGACTTTAGAAGAGCAGGGCTAATACTCAAAAAACCTCTCATAAAAAGGCCGTGCGTGACCGGCCTGAAGCAGTTGTCCCTTGGACTCTGCGGTCACGCTCCCAGGTCTCCAAGACCAACACTAATCTATCTTCCTTTTCAGGTTCCTCAAGAAACAACCTTCCACGGTGTGGGCAGCCGGGAAGTGACAACCGCCCTCATACCCGTAACAGCACGCGAGACCAAATTGGTCGAAATCAAATCCTTCCTACACCCACACATACCTCTCTTCTCTCCACAACTAACTCTACTCACATTCCTTTATCTGACTGCACCGCTAATGCAAACGATGAGAGTTCACGAAACGTCATTTCTGGTCTCTTCAAACCTCGTTCTAGACTACATGTTGGAGCATTTAATGTACGGACATTGTGTCAAATAGGGCAACAGGCATCATTAGCTAGGACTTTAGAATCTCGTGCCATCGATTTAATCTGCGTCTCGGAAACGTGCATACAGGATCCAAGTAAAATTATTAACCTCCATTGAATAAAAGAAGACTTGATATGAAGTAGAACCTGTATTCTACAAGCATCCAGAAAGTATGCGGTCCGAGTCCAGAAGAGAATCAGGATCCCGGACCGGGTCCTCGTCCTGTTCATAAAACGTCACGGATAATGCGTATTTATACATTTTGCCGAATAGGAAACATCATCGAAGTCTGTGACACTGACAGTCAGGATGACCGATAAGAAAAAACATTGAAGTACGTGACATTGATATCTAGGATGACCATAAAAATGACCAGGAATTTACCAATAATTCTCTTAGGATATTGGATGAATATCCTAACAATTAGTTAGTGGTGGAATGCAGAATGAACGCTATACATTATCTTAAATAGCAAATAAAACCCTGTATAGTTAACACCTATTAGTTTGTATAAGTTTATTTTTTTTACAGTGACTAACTTCAGTATTATTATTTCAAACTATAAGATGACAATAATTATTACCTCTGATTGATTGGCTTTTCTGAAGATAAAAAAATATAAACTGCGTATTTTATTACTAATCGCTATTAAATAACATAACGTAATCTATCCCAATATTAAAGTATGTTATAAATAGCTAAGCCTATCCATAGCGAATGCTTGAATTAGCAGTGATGAATATATGTTTGTGATTATTCTGAGTATAATCAAAAGCAACATTTTGACAAAACATACAAACAAACATTGACAGTGGCTGCTACCCTGACGTAGTGATGGGGCTTGCCTATCGTGATGACTCAACCGAGCTATATTGGCTGGAACATATGTTCTTGAAGGCTCTACCATGCCAGGCAGGTCGATTGGAGAAAGATGAGACTAAAAGCAGCTACTCAAGGTCTGAGGGTAAAATTGTATTACTGGCTGCCTTTAGAGGGGTATGACAGCAGTAAGGTGTTTCCCTCAGAAAACCAGCATCTGCAGCGATGCTGCCTTCTCACAAGGAAGGAAGGGTTAGAAAAGTTCGACCCTAAAAATGTCACACCTCACCTTACCTCATCGATTTTCGTCTTCCGCTGTAAGGCCTTTTAAACAAGAGCGGAGCTAATAACACTATACACTCTTCCCATAAAAAGGCCGTGAGTAACCGGTCTCAACCAGTTGTCCCTTGGATTCTGTGGCAATGCTTCCAGGTCTCTAAAATCAACACTAATCCGCCTTCCTTTTCAGATTCCTCAAGAAGCCCCCTTCCAAGGTGTGGGCAGCCGGGAAGTGACATCCGTCTTCATACCCGTACTAGCGCACGAGATCAAATCGGTCACAATAAAATCCTTCCTACACCTCCTAATATTACAACTTTATCAGTAGACATAGTACTGCCTTTTCAACTTCATAAAGGTTCGGAGGGCTTACGTCGACTTGCCATTCAGGATGACTGGAGAATGTGTGTAACCAAAGTGTGGCTGAAGGCCAGTTGAACTGATCCCTAAAGTGTTCTGCCCATCGATCCAGTCTCCTGGATTGAGAATAAATAATAGTCCCATCCTTTTCCGAGATATTCTCACTTACACTAGGATTCCGAATACCAGTTTCCTTGATAAGTCGGAAAAGTTGTCTACTGTTGCCTATCGCCGCTGCCTTTTCCATCGCTTTTGCTTTCGCCATCCACCACTGTTCACGGCCGTTGCGAAGGCTTTTTATCAGCCTGCGCTTAAGCTGACTTCGTTCTTCCTCATGTTCAGAGCCAGGCGGGATGAGTTTTCGAGCGTCCATCAGTTCGGCAGGTGCTACTAAGATCCACGGCTTCATTCTAGCCTTATGGTTTACCTTAATAGCAGATATCACTGCTGTTTTCACAGCCTTTTTGATATCATTCTAACCTGCCTCCGGATGGAGATCACTTACATGGTGCCTAAATGTTTTTCTAGTTGCTCCTGAAGTTTATTCATAGCTCTGCTATCATTAGGTAGAACCCCTACAGGTTTCCTTGCAGTGCATTTCCTATGTCCAGTAAGCCTCAAACAAATACGAGCTCGCACTAGGGCATGATCTGAATCTAGACAAGTGCCCCAGAAGGAGCGACAATCCTCTATCGAACCCCTCCATCGGTAGCTGATGGCAATGTGATCTAGTTGGGTCCAGCTTTGGGACGACTTTGGGGGTCGCCAGGTCAACAAATGTTTTTTATGCTTAAAGTTAGTGTTTGCTAGAAATAGGCGGTTACCTCAGCATAGTTGCAACAGACGGTCGCATTGTCTGTTCTCTGAGTCGCGACACCATAGCATCCACCCAGGTGTCTTTCCTGCTCACTTAGTCTACCTACTTGAGCATTAAAGTCACCAGCCATTATTACTATATCAGAGTATGGTGGTGTTTCGTTCTCTGAGCTGGTTGTTTTGGTTGTGGAGCTTTCATTGCTCTTCTGAACAACATCATCAGCACAAACTTCATATAGAAGTGAAGCATTCGAATTTCTCCACGTTTGACCTGTATCTTGTTCTGCTAACCTCGATCTTGATTGGTTGCTATTGACTTCTGAAGTTTGTGCTGATGATGTTGTTCAGAAGAACAATGAAAGCTCCACAACCAAAACAACTAGCTCAGAGAACGAAACACCACCACAATCATCCACCTGAGCTACAGGTTTTCTCCACTATATCAGAGTGCCTAGCTTTTTGGAGGAGGTCCGAAAGCTTTCTGTAAAGCTCATCTTTCACGTTGTCTGAACTGCAGTCAGTGGGGGCATAGGCAGATATGACGAAGAGGCAACGGCGAGTGTCCCTATCCTTCCGAGTCCTTACTGTCCTGTTTAGTCGGACAGCGTACAAGCGACTATCTACTGGGATCGAGTATAGGAGAGCTAGTTCCACCCTAGAACTCAATGCTATACCTAAACCAGAGACCCCGGGAAGCAGCATCAGGGTAAGTTGAGTTGCTTCTTTATCTTGAAATGCTGAGGTCAAGTGAATGACGCTACTGTAATCCTGTATGCGCGTTTCCGAGACGCAGCATACGTCGATGGCGCAGGATAGTAATGTTCTAGCTAAGGAAGGCTGTTGCCCTGTCTGACAATGTCCGTACATTGAGCGCTCCAACATGTAATTTAGAACGGGGTTTCAGGAGACCACGAATGACGTTTCGGGAACTCGAATCGTTTGCAGCAGAGTAGCGGGGTGATAAAGGAATGAGAAAAGTTAGTCGTGGAGGTAAGAATGATGTGAGGGGATGTAGGAAGGATTAGTTTGTGACTACTTTGATCTCGTGTGTTTTTACGGGTATGAGGGTGGTTTTCACTTCCCGGCTGCCCACACCGTGGAAGGGTGTTTCTTGAGGAACCTGAAAAGGAAGGTAGATTAGTGTTAGTCTTGGAGACCTTGGAGAGTGACCACAGAGTACGAGGGACGACTGCTTCAGGCCGGTCACGCACGGCCTTTTTATGAAAGGTTTTTTGAGGATTAGCTCCACTCTTCTAAAGCCCTATTGGGTAGCCTTTACCCCCAGAGACGGAAATCCATGAGGTAAGGTGAGGTGTGACATTTTTAGGGTCGAACTTTTCTAACCCTTCCTTCCTTGTGAGAAGGCAGCATCGCTGCAGATGCTGGTTTTCTGAGGGAAACACCTTACTGCTGTCATACCCCTCTAAAGGCAGCCAGTAATACAATTTTACCCTCAGACCTTGAGTAGCTGCTTTTAGTCTCATCTTTCTCCAATCGACCTGCCTGGCATGGTAGAGCCTTCAAGAACATATGTTCCAGCCAATATAGCTCGGTTGAGTCATCACGATAGGCAAGCCCGACCACCACATCAAGGTAGCAGCTGAGGTTGGGGCCTTTTAAAAAAGAGCGGAGTTAACACTTCCAAATCATCCCATACAAAGGCCATGTATAACCGGACTCAAGTAATTGTCCCTTGAGCTCTGCGGTCATGCCTCCAGGTCTCTAAGACTTCTCTACCTTCCTTTTCAGGTTCCTCAAGAAGCACCTTTCCGCGATGTGCGCAACCGGGGAGTGACATCCACCCTCACACCTGCAAAAAGCACACGAGACTAAATCGATCACAATCAAATCCTTCAAATCAGTGTTCAGGTACTCGCAATATACTTGATAATGTCTCAGACAAATACAACATTGGACTTGTAATGAAGTGACTAATTTACCAGAACGACGACATTTCAAGTGAAAAATTAAAAAACAAGGAGCTTAGTTATGTAACCATAAAATAACCGAATCTAAATCCTTAACTTATACCAAATGAATTTATAGAAAATATACACAACCAAGAACATAATAGCAAAATGGATGCTTACACTACATGTAAAAGTGAAAGTTTACTAAAATAATACCGACCTTTTGTTGCTAAATATATTTTCGAAATGACACAATATTAATTTTTTTGTTAAAAATATCAACTCACCTGCACTAACAAGGTGTTCCTCTGTTGGAAAACGCAAACGAGCTCGAGATGAGATTGCACGCAAAGCAAGACAATAGGCCAGATTGACATATCGAACTATATTTCGCCTAATTCTTGTTGGACGTTCAGCATTTCCATGACAAAACGCTGTTATAAACAAAGCCAAACGATCAGGCCATGGCAGTGATAGAAACTGTTCCCACCAACGCTGAACAATTAATGAAACGTAAAAGCCCAAAACGAATGCTACAGGGACTGTTTCATTGTATCGACCACAATAGATGCATAATTGTTCAAAATATCTGTTTTTGTATCGATTATTGACCATGTTTCATAAGTTGTGTTAAAAATAAATAAATAACGCATCGGATAGAAAATAAGCAAGAAGTAATTTACAATGAAAAAAATTAAATACAAGTAAATAGCTTTGAAAATAACTTTAATCCCTTTAGTAAAATAAAAGGTCATCAAAAATGTTTTTATTTTTTTATTACTTGAGCGTAGAAAAGCCGGTCGCAGTTTTAAGACGTACGTTATGGAACAATTTTCGTATATATCATTTAAGCTAATTTAAATTCTTTCACCTTTCAGATCAATAAGCTTATGAGACAACTCTACAAACAATAATAACAATAATAATGTCCAATATATTTGAAACAGTCAGTTTATTAGAATTTCTAACTGTTTACCTACGTGATTGCATTGTGATATACTATGTGGTATTAATAATTTTCGTCGATATAACATTCAGATAGATAGAATAAAGTGTTTGAAATTTTCTAGTGTTGAAGAATTGTTATTAACTCATTTTTATCAGGTACATGTTAGCGTACCTGGGGTTATGAGTTAGAGCTCAAACATGTAGGTATATAATAAAAATTTGGTTAACCAAACTAAGGTTGGTGGGGCAAGATTTGAACCGAAAACGTGTAGGCTGAAAGCCGAATACTTCACCTTGTGCACTACGGTTCCAAGTTCGAATAATAACAAGTAACAACTAGGAAATTAATAAATCAACAATTAAACAATCTGTCAAAGTCAAGTGTATGTGAAATATTGACTTACAAAATTGGTCTCATATTATTCAACTTATTTATATTAAACTCTAGTTCGTTAGTATTACCAATTAACTTTTAATAACTGGCTTGTACACGTGAAACATACATGAGAGTACGACTATTAAACTGCATCATGAGTTAGCACCATGAGTTAGCAGGAGTAGACTGTTAAATAAATTAATCTAGTACTACATAATTCATTTCAACTTATGCTTACATACATTTTGCTTTGAACAGATTTCCACCGACGCAAAATAAAAAAAAGGGAAGTTATACGAAACCCTAAGTCCCAATATGACATTTGAATCTCTATTCACTGAGGAAAGCGTTGATCCACATTTGAAGCCTGAGATGGTGGAAAAAATTTGTAGCTCAGGTGGATGATTGTGGTGTGGTGTTTGGTTTTCTGAGCTGTGTTTTGAAGTCTGTTAGTAGTAGTCAATCTATAACGTAGAGGGAGTTTAATGAATATTAAAACATATCTCACTCGATCTCTTGATTAGAGGTCAAACCGTCAAGTGATTTGTAACTAAACGATAAACAATGAATAAATTAGAAATTGAAATCAACATAGTTTTTGACTTCTGAACTCTGATCGAAATTGATTGAGAATTAGCATGACTACTAAGCCACCATGATAAAGGCGATTGACAAAAATAATCCAACCCTGAAACGAACTAATGTCTACTTGAAGAATTCAGAATTAATTTCTTCAGATGTGGTATCCGCCTAAGTGAACTGATATTTCCGGAAATATGGGCTCTCATACAATAATAATAATAATGTGTTTATAGCTGATAGTCGTAATGTTTCAACCAAATAGACACACCATATGATGAAGATCAAATCAAAAATGGGTATATATAGAATAAAAAACAGACAAGAGACCTGACATTTGAAATCTATTGACTAATTTTAATCTCTAACCAATGAAAAACCAACTGAAAACCTCATGTTCCCGATCTCTCAACTTTGGGAAAATTTTGGGGTTTCCCAAATCATTTAGAAATGAAGTGTTACCTACACCCAGGCAAATTTTCGGACAAAATCCACAGACCAGAAAAGATTCTGTGGTTTTCAGTTGTATTTCCCCAAAGTTTACTATTGGAGCTTCCCCAAAATTTGATATTTTCCCAAAGCCAAGAGACTAGGTCTACATGCGACCATCCAGTGTAAATGTTTGGATAAGCTAACTAACCTCCTCAGTGTCTCACTGAGTATAAACCTGTATGTAACAGATAAGACGGAGTATATACCGACGAAAACCAAAAATTCGAACCAAACCAGACGATAAACACTTCCTTTCCACCTGTTTATGTCTGTTGAGAACAAAAACCGTAAGCATTACATAAATAATAGTCTTATAAAAGTCCAATATTTCGCAGTCGCCACAACCGACGAGTATGTAACCGTCATTTTTGAGAGTACAATTTGACCGGCCGATGGTGAGCAAATGACCTAGACCGTTCCAAATGACATATCATATAAGTCACCTCTTGGTGTTTCCGTGGATTTTGTATTATCGTGGTATTTCTTCAAATTATTAAAAATAAGCAGTAGAGTCAAAATACGTTAGAAAACCTTCGTTTCTGCATCAGAATTATTCATTTAAATCTTCTCATTAGTAACTTATTGCACTATGACAATGTTATCAAAGGTATGATTTCTTGGTAAATGTAAAGTGAAATTAATTGTTTGTGGGGAGGTTTTCACTTTAAGGGTATTCCAGCAGGTTAGAATTGAAATTTTTCCCAAACATGCCATTTAAAACTTCTTTTTTTTGTTGTTCGATCTTCAGCGTACTGACGAAATTGACGAACGAAAGCAAGTTTCAATATCTAATTCAATGTCTTTTTCACAATCTAGTATAAACCAAGAGATTTCTTTTTGCTCGATTCTTGTTCTTGCGGTACGGTTCCAGGTATTTGGCAGTGTCCAATGGATGATGGTCTGGCAGTAAACATTTATTCCGACCCTTTTGGTTTCAGTGAACTCTCTTTACCTGAAGGTGCTCGGATGCGTATCCATTCCAGATCATCATTAGGCACACCTTGCTACGCATCCCTCAGAACAACAAGCCAGTTAAATCATGTTTATTGCTGCATCATATTTTTCATATAGTTTAACACCCATTTTAATCACTATTACTAGTAGAAAGGTATTTCAAGAAACCTGCAGATGTTGTCAAATCACAGTACATCGTAAGAAAATCATTCTATTAGGGACTATTGTGTGGTCCATATTAGCTCATGTGCTCACAGGTCTTCAAGTCATGGGCCGATGTACTAGCCTACAGACCAATTAAGTTCATGTCTCATACGTTATCCCAGATCTCTTATAAGAAGAAAGAAAACGGGATAGATCAGATGAAATAGATGTATTCGCTAGCAATTTCGTGGTATCGAAGAAATACCGAAACGCGCCAAAGAATGGGCGAAGGTACAGAGTAACCAAAGCGAGATGGAGACAAAAAATTGGAGGAGCATGTTACCATAATGTTACTTCAGTATTTTGGCAAAAAGTACAGAGGTTCTTGCGTAAAAAATGTACGAATAAACAAATATTCGATAGTACGTTCTCTGTTACGGCTGGTCGAAACAATGAATGTTGCTATTTCACTAACTGTATGTTTTATCGTTAAAGTGAAATCAATGCATTCCACCAGTTTAAAACTTTACGTCTTGAATTTATTCGCATTAGAAGGTTTCGCTTTTTTAATTACTTCTCCCCACACTCACTCAAAACTACTTCTGTTTCATTTGATTTGATCACCTATCTATCGTTATCATCTACATATTTCTACAGGGCAACGAAATGACACTAGATCTCATCCATGTCAATTGCCAGGGCTGTCAATGAGTGTAGAATACTATATTGACCCTCACTAAAGTCAAGGTCAACCAACGCGCAACAATCGAATACTCGCCATAGACATGTACATGCCTCAGTGGTTCTGCCTTGCTTTTTCTGTTATAACATATATATACTATCGCCTCTTGAGGATACTTATTCTGGCCTGTCTCCTGATTGTCATGATGGCATAGTCCAGGTTGAATGTCGGCCAAGAGGTGTGGCTTCAATTAAGCTAGGAGGCCATCCCATCCCTCCTAAACCCCAGTAGACCCGCAATCACTGATACAGATCATTTACTTTGCTTGTAGTGCCAGTTTGTTTACATCTAACTTGGTTAAGCCCTTTCGATCAATTTATTTAACCAAGCCATTCGTATTGCAACAATTTATATGTACCATTCGTTCTTATTATTGTCTGGTTTGTCTAAGCTCACATGACGTGTCCCACTTGTCATTTGACCTTATCAACTATTCGTCGCTTTTATTCATGTGTGTCTATTTCGCTTGTCACATGTCTGTCTTATATTTGTCTGACTATATATTCTTAGTCATGCTCTATCTCTGTGAGTTGTCTGATTAGCCTTCTCCAACGCGCTTCGCCTGTACACTCGCACATTCACCCATTCACTCGCTAGTGTGTCCCCCCGGTCTGCCTGTGGTCTGCCATCCGTATTTGTGGTGTGCCAAAATAAACGTATTCAACACCGAGTTTACCTTCTGATTTATAACCGTCAGACGCCATTTAGTAACGATTGTCTGAACGAGTTAATAAGGAAGACTGAGAACACTTACAAATTGGCCACAGCATGCTGACTGACACCATCTATTGTCTAGCTAGCGCCCAAAAATTTATACCGCTAGTTGACGTAGCACTGGTGTGATATACTAAATGAGTTTATAACCCTCAAGCTGAAGCTTCCGCTAGTTAATTTGATTTTAACACGGAACTAGGGGGGACGGTGTATCCTAATGAGCTGAGGCTTAGATTAGAGCGCTAGTGAAGCAGACCAAAATAATAAGAGGGCCCTGACGTACTTCCTTACTTTCTTACGTACGCCGCCGACCAGTTTTCTCAGATCAACTCTGTCCTGGGCTTCCCTTTCCAGTTTCTGTTTATTCTACTCATGTCTTTCTCTGTTTCTCGAGATAATTTGTTCCTTTGCCTTCCTCTTTTCTTTTGACATTGAGGGTTCTATGTGAGGGCTTGTCTTGTGACGCAGTTCAGTGCTTTCCTCACCGTGTATTGTATCCACTTCCAGCGCTTCTTCCTGATTTCCTCCTCCACTGGAATCTGGTTTCTTCTCCCCCACATTACGTTGTTGCTGACGGTGTCTGGCCAACGAATCCTAAGTATTTGAGAAGACAACTGTTAATAAACACTTGTATCTTCTCCAAGTTTCCGCTCCATACAGTAGCCTTTCATGATTGCATTGTGATATACTATGTAGTACTAATAATTTTCGTCGATATGACATTCAGATAGATAGAAGGAAGTGTAGTTGGATTTTCTACCGTAGCAGTTAAATTCGATTCCAATAGGCGTATGTCGAATGCACCCTCCCTTAGTCGAATATCAGAACACAATAATTCTAGGAGAAAGTGATCTGACAATTATTACGCCTTCCAAGTCGAAATTACTCTGATGAGTATCCGAGTTCAAAAGATTAGGTGAAGCTAGTATACTGCGACGATATCAAATCCAAATATGGCTGTAGCCATATTATATATCAAATTTAAACAACATGTGTACAGTTCAGAAGCAAACATAAAACTTCAATATAAGTACAAAATGTAGAAATAATAGCAATATACAATGATAAAATCTCAAAATGGAATCAAATAAAATACCAAAATGTCAACAGAAAGAGTCAGTCATATTATAACAAAAATATATAAACATGGAGAGATTTTCCAAAAAACAAAACATTCAAAAAAGATTCTACACCGGCCCGCAAAATCCCTCCATGCAAACAACAAGCGCTTATTGACACTTCAAGTTTGGGTTCACTCTCATCCCCTAATCCACACCGGAAGAACGAGTAGGACTTACAGCAGTACGCCTACCCGCCCTCCAACATGGATATGACCTATCAAGCTAACTAGGTACCTGTACCTTCTCATCAGGCCCTTGATTCCCCTATCTATCGTAGCATGACCTAACGGTAGTATAAACCTTATCCAATTAACCCACATAAACATGTACAACACGTCGTAAAGCTGGTCATATCCTATCCGGGAACTACATTCCATATCATGGGGATGAGTCGTCAATCCACCACCACTTGCTCCGATCAGCAGATACAATGAAGTCCGTGATGCTGACTTATCAACAGAAGTTCTTGACCCATAGATAATATGCAAGGGTGGGATCTCCAATTTTGATATTTCCTCGTCTACCGAAGACTTTAAGTGGCATAACATGGGACCGATATCTAACTCTCCATCTCCTGATACAGAGGAGGTTTGATCAGAATTCGTCATCATCCGCAACTTATCTGTCACATCGGTTACATCCAGATTATTATCATCGTCATCATGATTCCGTTCTGTCAGACAAGTCGCGTCGTTTCTGGCTGCACTAGCATCCGAAGAGTGAAACTCTTCCATTGTTGTATAACTCATCTCGCTACATGAAAGAACAGCATTAGTGTCACAATTCGAAACCGATAAACTCACCTGTTGCTCTTCATGTTCCGTTTCAGAGACACAAGACATATGTACATCAATAACATCGTTATCATGCAACACTGTTGACTGGCTGTTACCATCAGACACTTCCTTCTCATCATCACTTGACTGACAGTCAACCGAAGTAGGAACACTTACAGTTACACAACCTTGTGTATCCTCAATCAACTTAGCATTCGCGGCAGGGTCCGATGACGTCAAAACACTAGAAGGTTCGTTCGATGAAGTTGATCGACCAGTGACTATAGGTGGACTGCTCACACTTTCTGTCTCCTTACTATCGCTGTCACTACTAAGATTCTGATGACTACTATTTCCATTGCTAGTCATTGCATCCGAAAGAGAACGAAGTTTACGCTTCTTAATAATAGTAGCATCATGTTGTTTCTTATGCTTCTTAGCTTGGGTAGCAGTATGTGAGCGTAACGTACGATCATTTCGACGACGATGAGTGTCTTTCAACTTCCATTGATCACTATTACTCGCAGGAGTATCATCAATGCTATTATCATTAGTAGCCGCAGCTGTACAAGCATCAGTACACTTCTCATGACATCCAGTCGACTCATGCACAGTGGCTAACTCTACTCGATCAACATTGCTTTCCTTACTAGGAATGCTCTTAGCCTTATCTATCTTATCACTGTTGGTAAAACTCATCCCGATACTTGTAGTACAAGTCAGTGATGGTGGAGTGCGACAGGTGGACAATTCCGTGCTCGATTCCTCATGCTGCATATTCAACACAAGAGCATGTCCATGAAACCTAGATGACTCCTCATTGCACCTAGGATACCAAATGTTAGCCTTCTCAGTACTGCCATCACTGTAGCTAAAGCTATTACCACCGACGCCCACATTCTCCACGCTCAAACATCCAATTTCGTCTTGATCCGAAGTACACAAGGAAGCTATATTAGCAACATCAACCGAAGAAACAGCACTACCTGTAGTGATTCCACTATCGTTACCATCACGTTTATTATTCACATCAACTACGCTATTATTAGTAGATACATCAGGTTTCACTTCCACCTCAACGTTATTGTTGTCCACAATGATGTTCCGACTATTCATGGTTAATGACGAGTTGCAAGATAGTTGGCATGCAGGCTTTAAAGCTATGCTACCACTTTCACTAACACTATTAATGTTGCTATGACTACTTGGACCAGTACACAACTGTCCATCCGTTGACCGTAAACAAACATCAGCAGGACGCGCTGAGCTGCTAATATCTTCCGCTTTAATATCATGATGCTCTATAGAACTAAATATAGTAGCCCGCAAACATCCTGATTGCTCAGCAACATGAAGTGCTGTGTCACTATTCAAACTTGTTGTCCTAGAATCAATTCTAGGTCGAGTCAAATAATTTACCCTACGTGATTGGTATGTGGATATTATATGTGGATCGCTTTGAAAATGTACTAGCGGCCGGAATCTGAGTCTATTTAGTACGAATGATTGAGCAAGTGTCTATCACCTAACGTCCATAAGTAATTCCTAGACGGCCATGTTTTATTAGGCGGTAACCCAGTACGACATTGATTGTTTGAAATTATTTCATTCTCTCACATGAGTTGAATGACACAGGAATGAAAAGCATGGAGGGGAACGAAGCAAACGGAGGGGGCGTACGGACCAACTTGATTTAAAAGGCATTACCAGTATTTGTGGCGAGACAGAATAAGTTAGACACGTGGTAAGAACACTAAGCGACTCATACACATGCAAAAACCATCAAAGTATTCGGGTGTACCAAACAAGGTAAATATGTATGAATAATGGCTCCAGAAGAGTTGGTTAATTGGTTTGCCCAAAACCCAGTTCATACCGTACAGACCTGACACATAAATCCATACAGAAAAGTGTATGCTGATTTACAGCCATTTTATTTTGCACAGCCAGCACTAAAACGTTTTCTGGCTAAGGTTTACAATAAGTATCGAAGGAAACTGCGATTCTGAATAGCGTAAAAACATACATGGTTAGTTATTGTATTATACGACAGTATCATACTTATATAACAAAATATACAGTCACCGTAAAGGTGAAGCCACTAATGAAAAAATGGTAGCACGCAATTATGCTGTAACTTTCTGAGCATCAAAAGAACATTCATATGAATGATTTGGAATAGCGTGAATAATAAGAGCTATAAATCGTTTATTCATTTTGTTCGAAACGTAACAGAATCTGGTCTGAGATGCCTGTAAAATATGCGAATACGGAGAAGTTAACTATGTTTTGATAAACCACCATAGTGTTGATACTATACGTATTTGTTGGCATTATGATCATATGCATCTAGCTGTCACTGAATATGTGTTAGTAGAATGATCAGAGGAGCAGAATAAGGGGCTGTGTTCACTCGGGGTTGCACCCCAATTTTGGTCGTGAAGGATTACATAGTTTAAGCCAATGGTTTGAGAAGCACTCGATCTCGTTTATTGAGAAGTCTTGAAGAAAATACCAAAATATACGATTATGTAAGACGGAAGAACGAAACTGAATTGATTACGAAGAACATGAATGTATCTTTGAGAGAATTACTCTAAACTGTCTGTTCTGATCCAAAGTTCGGCGGTGACGCATATTGTCTGCAGTAATCATGCGATCTTTAAGAGCACTAAGTCTTTTACTCTTCCTCACTGTATAGATATCAACATCCAGCAACGTCGTTGTGATAGGTAATTATTCAGATCTTACTCAGTAACACACGGGAGAGAGGAGTTTATTATTCTGACAAACAGACCTTCCAACATGCAAAATGAGATAATACAAAATATAACGCCTAGGTAAATTAAGGAAGTACTTACCCACCTAAGATATAATGCTTTGATCTTAAGTGATGTATTCTGCCAGCTCATATCTACCTAATCTAGGCTATTACATTCATGTAGGTGTCAACAAAGGAATATGATGAACTGATTTGTTATCAGTCGGGTAGAAATATGGTGCATAAAGTTTGATTAATGTATAAGTGACGTGGCCATGCCCAAAAGTTAAGCGAGCGATGGCAGGTACTTAATGAAATTTTAGTCAAGATTACCGGTGGAAAAATGGAGAACGATGGGTAATGCGTACAAATGGAATGAATGACTATAAGTTGCATATTGAAAACATGGATTGTGACTACCAGGTGTATGACTCCAAACTTACGTCTAGTATAGCGGTTGAAAGATATGTCAAGAAGCGTGTGAAATGAACTGGCTAGTTTTGCGAGGGATGTCTAGCCTGGTACACCCTATTACGATCTGTTAAAGATGCATGACTGAACGCATTGAGTTGGAGTGTGTCCACAAAAACTAATGAGGTTATAAAATAGGGATCTATTTACCGCTCTGGGGGTATCAGCCTCATTGATCAATACTTCCCGAAGGAGCCCGGATCTCTGCTAGAAAAGAAGCCTAGAGACTTAACACAGGTCAGCTGTCCTAATTCTTGAATACAAGACAAACAATTTCGCTGAAAGTTATTTCGGAGCCTCCAGACACATATGGGACTAAAGTTCGGCCTCGAACTTATGCGAATATCTGTCTTCATGCTACTTCTTAGCAATAATATCAGTATATATGAATACAAAATCCATTAGGTTTAAGGTGCGGTTTTTGTTTTACCGTACTGATGTCCACGTCTGTGGGGATCAGTAACAAGGGTGGGCACACTTATTGACACTACTGCGCATGTTGGCAAACGTAGCCTCATGAGTGACCAGACACCTATACAGTACCAAAATATATATAACTTGTCTGTGTAAGCTTGTATTAATGTTTTTAATGAAATTTACATTTCCAGTAATAACAGGTCAACGGACGCTCAGCACATGGTAAGTATACACATGCTTCTTGACACATGCTTTTAGGCAGTGCCTTACTATGTAAGTTGGTGTGGTATTATAATTGGATTTGTTCACCATATTCATGTAAAATATTTATAAGTCTCGTGTTTCAGTTCTGTCTGTTGAGTGGTAGTTGTGCTCTTGTTTCTATTTTTCTCTACTAATTGACTTGAATACATCTTGTTTCTACAGCATCAACCAGGTTCACGCATAGGTAAGTTCCCTGACTTAATAACTTTCCTCTAGAGAATGTAGGCTTACCTCATGGTGCTAACCTATTCTGCAATTACCGCAATGTGGACTCGGTTAATCGGTTAGCTTATAATGGTCTTCCACAATCTCCGTTTGTGATCTCGATGGCCTACCCCGAAGTTCAGCAGCATGATCACATGGGCATCTCGACGCATCCTGACTGTGTTCAATACCAACCTTTCTATAATACCCTCGTCCCAGCTATTCAAACACTTCCTAATCAGGCGGGTGGAAACCAACAGCCTAGTATTGATCAACATAAGCCGCCAGTCCGTAAAAAAAAACCATTATGTATAATTGATCCAATAACAAAGTCAGAAGTCAATCTGGAAGAAGCGTCAAAAACTCCTATAGAGCCACGCAAGAAAGAACCACTAATACTTATGCAACCCATGGCAGACGAATCACCTCCCATACCACAAACAAAAGAAGAAAATGAAAAACCTGTTTGCACCGAGTGTAAGGATGAGGGTATATCAAGCGTAGAGACAGTGTCACAAGATGCCACGCCTGAAGAGAATGTGATCTCAGATGATTTGTGTGATGTCACCGAGCTCGCCAAGTCACAAGACGAGCATTTGTCACAGGATGAAACGGAATCGGATGATGGGAAAAAAGAGGATACAATAGACAGACAGAGATATTCACGTGACTTTATACTTTCTTGTAAAGCCTTGGGCGTAGAAGTATCGCTAGATAATTATAAGGTAAGAAACTTTTTCTATAGTTTTTATCATACCTAATATAGGATATCATGAACAGCTTTGCAAATATCAAAAGAGTAAGTCCTCTTTAAGTTTATTTAATTTGTTAGACTCGTAATCAGCCTAATTATATGCACAAGGGAAGGATTATTCAAATACCTACAGCAATAACAATCAAACGCGTAGAGGGTGCCTTCGTCCCGTCAAAACTTATTCAAGGAGCTAATAATGTAATCGATAGCTCTAAAGAGGTTGCTCGAGAAATGAATATGATTTTAAACCGCGTTTCACCTAGCAATTTAGAGGTGACTATCAGTGATATCGAGAAACTTAACATATCAACGCCTGAAGACCTCAACTTGCTGGCAAAGACGATTTTTCAAAAAGTAAGTTCATTTGATCTAAATTTCTATTTGTTCATACCAATTCACTTGCTCATTAACTGCGTTTAAATAAAACACATACCCTATTACCTACCTATGTATTAATTGTCGTGTTTCCTTGGTTGAATTAAGTTGAGTAAATGGGTCTACGTTTTGAAGAAATCTGAAATGATGAAACGCAAGAGTTTCCACGTGACCGCATAACTTGTATATAACTAAGCACGATATCGTTCTTGTTCTTAAAACTAGGTCTAAGACGCTTCCCGATCTGATGTCTCTCCTAGTGGGATACTGCGTCTATCTTCGGCTTGTGTTGCAGTTTTGGGTGTATAGACGAATGGTAACTGTAGACGGACTTGTAGGTTGAGGGAAGTAAGAGTAGTAACTCAATTGTTAGCAGCCATCAAAACTGTCTTCAGTTTTCAGTCTAAAACCTGGAAATGAACTGTCCACTTTTAAAGCATCAGTAGGTAATCACTGCTTGTAAGGATAGGTCTATGCAGATTTTCATATGACACCCTCCAGTTTATTGTGTTATAAATTTCCGTTACATTAGTATGTTCATTGTGGAATTCTGTTCATAGATTTCGCACGTTGGTTTTTGTACACTTCTGATTGCTCAGTTCCTTAACTGCATTCATTGAGATCGATGTATATACCGGCTAAACAGCTGGAACCACACTTTAGTGTGTTTATCCCTAACTACTTCTACATCAGACATAGCGCGACAAGGCAGTCGGTGGTTAGGCATGTGCAACACATGCCCCAACCACCTTAACACTACATCTGTTGATTTGCCATCCCTACCTATCCTCAATATGTGTCCTATCTTATTCCATCGCTCCCCCCTGTTTTATTCCTCCACTAAAGTAATCTGGTTTGTCCTATCCCTCAGCAGGTTTTTGCTGATAGCATCTGGTCAACGGATCTGAAGTATCTTAAGTAAACAGTCAGTCAGTTACTGCGTAGAACCTCGTACATACGTAATCAGCTCAGGTTGCCATACCACATTAGCACAGGGTGCAATTGTCGATCCAGAACCATCTTGAGTAGACTATTTTTAGTAAGCACTTGTATCTTCTGGGTGATGGCTTTGGTAGTTCTTCAAGTTTCGTCCCCGTACATTAAAAATGTCTTGAAGTTCGTATTGGAAATTGTGACTTGGGTGTTTGTTGATAGTTGTTTGGAGTGGATTTTCTTCAATTGAAGAATTATAGCCCTTGTTTTATTTGTCCGCGCCTTCACATCTGCATCAGATCCACAGTGCTCGTCATTGATGCTGCCCAGATATGTGAAGGGTTTTACACCCTCCAAGTCATCTCTGTCTAGTGTGATTTGCTTGTTGCATGTTATGCTTTATCGGCGAATCTTGCTTTTCCCCTTGTATATGTCGAGACCTACTGCTGCTGAGTGCTGTTGCACTGACCGTCTTGCAGTTGTTTTAGTGTGTGCCATAGAACATCCAGGTCATCCTCTATCTGCATCCCAGCAGTCTACTGTATCTCATACTCCCTCCAAGGTATTGACGTTTTTGTAATCCAATCGACCACCAGGCGGAGAGAGGGTGAGAATAAGCAACGTTGCGTGATACTAGTCTTCATTTCGAGTGAGTTTGTCCTCCATGCACGATCTTGCAGTATAGTCCATAAGAATTGCGTATGACGTTGACTATCTTTTCAGGCACGCCTTAGTGTTGAAGAAGCCTCCTGTACACGCTATCAAATGCTTTGTCGTTGCTCAAGTTTTTTTCGTGTTTGGGAGTAGTGAATATATATATATTTTTTTCCTAGTTGCTAAGACTGCTCCGTGCTCTGAGAAGTTTTTTCTCCGTGGCTTTTTGTAACCATACTAAAATGAAAATGCCTGAATTCAAGTGATAATCAAAATAATTGTCAAAACATCTTATAATGATCATCTATCTTAGCACAAGTCAGGATAGAATTTCTATTATTAAGCCGACCGCTTTTACTGACGTCCATACACCACGGTGCTTTAGGATTTTTAAGATCAACTCTTCAAGATCTCATTGCTAGGTTTCATTAATTTGCTCAACTCGTTTGATGCCTTTTGTTATTACATATCTGTTAGACGGTAATAAATAAGCTAGTCGACTCGTTTCACTCGTTGTCCGGATCGTCGAATCCAGGTATAAATTGTTAGCATTTAAATAGCCTAATAGTGTCATTTTTCTTCACACTGTCGCACTTGTTCCTTCTAACTTTTTTTTGTGTATTTATTGTTTCAGGGTATCAGGCAGTCGAAATACAGTAAAGTTTTCGCTAATTTATGTAAAGAGCTGAAAGGGGTACGTTTAACAAGTTGCATATAATATTTTTTTAGTTGGAAGTGCAAGGTTCAGAACGTTTCCCAGTATTAATTTTACAACAAACACAAGAGCTGTTTAATAAACCATTAGAAGTATGTTTAAATATTATCTGATCATCATTCAGGTCCTAATAACTGAATTAAATTCTGCCATTGACGCTAAAATTGCGGCAGCCAAGGATGAATCAATAAAACGAATTCTCGAAGATGACCGAGAAACAAATATCCAAAAGAAAACTGATGCTTATTATGGAAATATAACATTCATTGCTGAGCTTTATCTTGCTGGAGTTATTCCAATCAAATCTATTACTGAATGCTTAAAAAAATTAAAAGACTCTTCAGCCCCAGAATCGCTAGGCTCTCTCATAATACTGTTAAATATATGTGGCAGTAGTCTTGAGAAAAATTCCAAATCTATGTTGGATTTGTGTTTTAAGCGACTGGAACAGATAAGAGATTCTAAAACTCTTGAGCCTCATCAGATCTATAAAATACGAGAGTTGGTAGGATTGCGTGCTCGTGATTGGAAATCTCTTGATACTACTGTCCAACCTCAAGCACAAATCGATAATTCTAGGCGAATAATAGATGATAAACAAAAGCGAAACTTCATTCAACTAGATACAACAAGTAAGCGTTTTTGAAGCTAAATTTTTTTTTGCAGAACGTAAATCTTCCCAGTCATTGAATCCTTTGACGCCTGCCAGTTTAGCTGTTACTTCACAATCTTGCGATTCCCGAAAACTCGGTCCAGCCGTAGGAAACTGGAGTCATGGTAGTGGTTTACTGCGACCTTCTGAAGATAAGTAAGTTGTTCTTGAAGTAAATTGTTTCAATGTTTTTGGCATGTCATTACAAAAAATCAACCAGAAATTTCGTTCTCGTCAATTTTATGTCCATAAGCAGCAGTAAAACACTTCACCGAAACCTGGTCGCATTTATCTTGGTTACTACATTCGTAAAACCTTATACTTCAATATATACTATTCTTTTTATTTATTGAAAGGTCATTGGTGGTATGACTTGACGTTATCTAGTCTTTTAAAACATTACCATCCCTATTCGCGGCTGATTTCTTCATACTAAATTTCCCTGAAATGCATGATAGCATTTCTGATTCGCCTGTTACCCCCAGATTAACATAGGTCGTCGACTAGTATTCTCCAACCAACTCTGTCTTCGGCTTCCCTTTCCATTTCTGTTTAATTTTTGTACATCCTTATATCGTTCTCTATTTCCTGGCGTAATGTGTTCCTTGGCCTTCCTCTTTTCCTTTGACCTTTAAGGTTCGAAGTGAGTGCTTGTCTTATGACGCAGTTGGGTGCTTTTCGTAGTGTGTCCTATCCACTTCCAGCGCTTCTTGATTTCCCCCTCTACTGGAATCTGGTTTGTTCTCTCCCACAGTAGGTTGCATAAACTCCTCTGAAATAAGAACTTCTAACTTCCATGGCAGAGTTAAAATGGTTTGAATTGATATTTTCGGTTTGCGTTTTTCAGCAAGTTTGTTTTTTATGAGATGGGATCTCCAACCTACAAACCCGACCCTCGTTTATCCGGTCTTGGGACCGGCAGTAGCCCCAGAAGGGCTCCAGGCGGAGTTAGTCAAGTTACTTGACTAACTCTTTCTAACTTTATGTCACTGAATTATTCCCTAATCATCTCCATTACTGCTAATACTTCCATTTTCGCTGCCATCATTGGATTTGAACTGACAGTTGAGTTTCTGTGCTAATGCGGTATGGCAACCTGAACTGATGTACATACGCACATACATACGAAGTTGTGTGATGTAACTGTCTGTCTGTCTGTAAAGTTACTTGGAAACAATATATTAGCGCGCAAAACTTTTAAGTTATGACCCAAGTTATATGTATCACTTGCAGTTACCACACAACTCAGAACCATGGAATTTATTGTTTTAAAGCGTATCTTATCAAAACCTTTTCCTGCTTGTTTCAAACAAATGCCCTAATTGGTTTTCAGATGAATGCACCTGCGTCTCTGCATGGTAGTAAAAAGTGTATCGTTATCTTATAATTCATGGTCGTACATAAAAATCTAACAGTCTAAATTTAGTGAAGAATCTCGCTATCCCCTTTATCCTAATGAGAATTAAAAGTTATTCGATAGGAATGCATTTCCGAAACAATGTTGATCTAGTCAACACGTCTTCATAGCTTCTTAAGTTCTCACAATGAAAAACTGACTATCGCTTCATCCCTTGATTTCTTGGCTATTTATTTTTCGACATGTATCTTTTCTTCAACTTTCATTAAGCCATTCAAAACATAATCAGCATTCAGTACATTCTCGCGAATCATCGCCACGAGTACCTTTGGGACCTCAAGGTGCTTGGGCACGTCCTTTGCCGGTAGGGCAAAAAGTGAAAGAAAAAGATTATGATTCAATGTTGGAGGAAACGAAGGGTTCTGCTCGTTCAATAGTGGAGACGGTTTCAAGTTCCCAAAATGAAGAATGCGTACGTCTAAATCAAACTATATTTTGTGTTTTGTGTAAAGTTGTTATTTGATTTCGGTTCTTAAACATTTAGTTGAATTAACAAACTCCTAATTTATTTTATTTAGATCAGAGGGTAATTTTCATTTAGTCAGATAAAAATATCCAAAATCAATCTAAGAAATCGCGACGTACTGCTGGTGCAATTTATGTTCTCCCTGTTTAAAGCTATTCATCAATATGCACTGCTGTGTACTTTCATGCAATCAGTCAGTCAGTTACAACGCATAACTTTGTACGTACGCACATCAATCAATTCACGTTGCCATTCCACATTAGCACACAATGAATATGATGCTCGTTTAAATATGTGGTTTGTCTGTGCGCAAGTCATTTGTAGTCAACCAACGAATCGAACACTACTACTATTTGTTGCATTATTCAAACAATTAACTTTTTAGGATTCATGTCAAGAAGAGGTTTTGTCAATCTATTGTAAAGTAGACTTCCACGGTGCGCGCAGCACGGGAAGTGACATTCGCCCTCATACCCATAGCAGCTGACGAGACCGTATTGATTACAATCAAATCCTTCCTATATCCTCAGCATTGCCTACTCGGTGGTCCCAAAACGCATATGAGATTCTTCAAAGACACATGTAATTAAATATTAGTAACCCATGAACATTCTCTATTCTTGATGGCAGTGTTTCAGACCCATGAAGTAGAACGGGGTGAACTATTGCGCACTAAACTCGTCCTTTGGCTGATAGACATATCTTGACTAAGCCTGGCGTTACGCAAGTGGACAAAAGCCAGTCGAGCTTTCTGCATTCATGTTGTCAGATACCAGGTCATCAGGACCGATGAAACTTCCAAGATAATTAAAGCAGTTGAGCTACGCTCAACTATTGATAAAAATCCAAAGATCGCTTTTATTAATTATTTCCAATGAACGGTAAATGTTCCTTTTAGCCACCATACTTTGTAGCAACTTCTTTAATCCATACTTTGTTTTTTTTTCTCCATTCAGCATCATACTATTACTAAGTGTGAACCTGAAAAACGATCAGCTTTACTTCACAATATATATGAGTTGTTAATGGAAAGCAACTCAAAAAAACGAAATGAAGTTGGTCGATTTTGTGTAAATATGCTTCGCGAAGGAGTCCTTTCAGAAAATAATATTATTACGTCGTAAGTTTTTATTTACTCATTTTTACAAGTATGTTAAATACAGTAAGGACTACTTAATATTGTTTTCAACTTTTTTTTTAGTGTAAAGATCATTTTTAAATGAGTTTAAAGGAGAAGGGAATCTATGTGACTAGAGAGACGTGCGAAAAATTCTTAGTAGTAGGAGTTGGTTTTGGAATCGTTTCATTTCTAAAAGTTGAATATTACCTATCATAGATCCCATAATATAAAAGCTAAGTTATAATGCCTAATAGTTTTATGAAGTTACCGCACACAACTGACTGTCTTTTTACAGTTCCTCTTTTTTTTGAGTACCATTGACCCTCCCTCCGGATTGTTGTCAAAACTGTTACGGAATACGTCTTTTCAAGCGAAATTTCGTAACATGATTAGCTATTAGTGTATATAGATTTTTTTTTCAGTGTTCGTATATGTGATGAGCATGAGCAGCAGTAAAATAAGAACTAGAAGTTGCTATTCAACGTATGTTCTTATCCTAACTAGAAGAAACTTCATTTTCAAATCATTTTCATTACCATTTATTTTATACCATATTAAAATATTGTTTTTTTTTTTTAGATGTGAAAACTTTTTCAAACTATGCGATAGTGATTGGATTTCAGATTATCCACTAGGTTGGCAATATGTTGCAGAAATACTTCATCATCTTATTTGTGGCGAATCCAATTATATGAACACTCTTCTTCGATCGGTTGAATCTCTCCGCTCTGATAACCGAGCTGTTGAATTGGTAGCAGATTGTATTAAACGAAGCAAAACATCGACAAGTATTGATCAACTTGTAAAAAAACTTCAAGCTTGTAACTTTACTTGGGATAAACTCGGTATGACAAGTAACAAAACTTGGGACTTTGTATATGAGCGATCGATAGAGTTCACAATCTATGAAGTTTATAGCTATGAATCTGAAAAACTAAAAGAGCTCAATGAGCTTACTACGAATCCTTCATCTCCAGATAAAATCTCAGGTTATTTTAATGCGCTATCTCAGCGTAACCTGTCCAAATGGTTTATGCAGTCGATCATGCCAATTTTGCTTAGATCTTCAGGTTTGTTGAATTTTATGTTGTTATTCACTAATTTCAATTCCCTATACACTGAATGTTTTTGCATTTACAGTCTGAGAGTGTGTACTCTTAACCTTATTCTGAAGTGTATATATATATATATATGCATATATAATTTTCTGAACGTTGGTTTAAGTTGGTTTTGTTTTAAATGCACTGTGGTTAACCGCAGAAATTGTGTATGTATTTATTTCTTCGTTAAAAAAACGAACTCGATTGTAATGAATTCACAGTAACATTTACAATTGTAGCAAATGTAAATTTTTTACTTTTTATAAGCATACTTTATTTCATATAAGACAGCTTAATTTTGTTTATAATTCTGTATGATATCAAACGGTGCTTTTACTTACTTACATTAGTTACGCATGTTACGCCCAATGGAGCGTAAACCACCGATCAGTTTTGTCTAACCAACTCCGTCCTGGACTTCCCTTTCCAGTCCTGTCCAATTTTCGTTCATTCTTCACATGTCTGTCTCCATTTCCCGGCGCAATGTGTTCCTTGGCCTTCTACTCGTCTTTTGGCCTTGAGGTTCAAAGTGAGGGCTTATCTTGCTTTCCTCAATGTGTGTCCATTCCACTTCCACCGCTTCTTCCTGATTTCCAACTCCGCCGGAATCTGGTGTTTTCTTTCCAACAGTAAGTTGTTGCTGATGGTGTCCAGCCAACGAACCTAAAGTATTCTGCATAGATATCTGTTAATAAACACTTGTATCTTCTGGATGATGGCTTTCGTAGTTCTCCAAGTTTCCGCTCCTGATTTTGGTGTTGATTGACATTTTTCAATTGTAGAAATTCAGCTCTTGCTCTGCCATTACGCGCCTACATACTTGCATCAGATCCACCTTGATTGTTGATGATGCTGCCCAGATATGTAAAGATGTTAACGTCCTCCGAGGCGTGTCCACCAATATTGTTGTATCTTGAAATATTCTTTTACCTTTATGTATGTTGAGACCTAATTCTGCTGAGGTTGCTGCTACACGGGTCGTCTTGTCTTGCATTTGTTGTTGCGTGAGCGATATGAGCCAGGTCATCTGCAAAGTCCAGAACATCCATCTGTATCCTTGCTGTCCATTGGATACCGTGCTTCGCTCCAGACGTTGATGTCTCCATAATACAGTCGACGACCAGGGGAATGAGTTGGGGTGAGAGTAAGCAACCTTGCCTGACACCGGTCTTCACCTCGAAAGAGTCTGTCAGCTGTCCTCCATGTACGATTTTGCAGTTGAATCCATCATAAGAATTTCGTATGATGTTGACTATTTTCTCAGGTACACCGTAGTGTCGAAGAAGCCTCCACAGTGTTTTCCTATCCACGCTATCGAATGCCTTCTCATAGTCGATGAAGTTAGTGTAGAGTGGTGAGTTCCATTCAATTGATTGTTCTACAGTGATCTGTTATGTTGTAATATTGCAATCAGCTTTCAAAGTGATCTTTTTATGTCATATTATGTGTTATCCTAATTTTTTTCCTGTATGGTAGTCATAATTTTTTAATGCTGTCTTGTACACAGATCAATCAAAAGCAAAGATAGATTCGTTTGTCATGTCCCTGGGTATTCTGGTTGATCACAAGCCGGACAGAGAGTTTTACATTTTAAGTGGCTTCCAAGATCCAGCATCAGACCAAGGTGAGTTGTTTGTGTTTATTCGCTTGTTAACCAAAGGACGAGTGTACTGCGCAGCAGTTCGCTCTGTCCTACTTTACGGATACGAAACATGGCCGTTAAGAGTAGAGGACATTCGTAGGTTACTAGTCTTCGATGATCGATATCTCCGAAGCATTGCTCTTGTATCCAGTGACGACCGAGTAAGCAATGCTATCGTTGGGAAACGAATTCTAGGTAGGGATAGCAAGTCAATAGATGTAGTATTGAGGTGGTTGGGACATGTGTTACGTATTCCTAACCACCGACTGCTTCGACGAGCTATGTTTTGTGGTGTAGGAGTAGGTTGGAAGAAAGCTAGGGGCGGCCAGAAATCTATGAAGTCACTGACGAGTGGACTGGTAGACGTAGATGTAGACTACCTGGTTGTGGTCCGCGAGACCCTGAAAGACATGGCGCAGAATCGTTTGCAATGGCGCAGGTGTATCCACTCTCTGAGTTCTCTCTAATTCTAACCTTCTGCATTCCTCATAATCTCTATCTTTCTCCTCCTAAATTTGTCTCACTGAATTATACTTCTCGAATCGTACCTTCGCTCCATTACTGCTAACAATTCTACTATCGCTATCACTATTGTATTCGAACTGACAGTTACGTCTCTGTGTACTGATGTGGAATGGCAACCTGAATTGATATACTTATGTACCAAGTTCTGCGTTGTATCTGTATCTCTATCTGTATTCGCTCAGTATCAGTGTATCAGTGCTGCATCATGCAATATTTAGTGCCTTAATCATTCATTATTTCTAGTGTTGTTTTTTTGTGTGTGTGTGTGTCTATCTATATATTATACATGGTGATGAGATGATCATTAAAATTGTTTTTATATGTATATTCACGCTCCTTTTTTTGTTTATTTATTAGCTCTTATCGGCTTATGGCTTACTTCGTTAGTTGAAAAGAAAGTCATATCGGCCGACGCTTTATCACAATGGAAAAAAAGTGATAACGACGGTTTTGTAGCCAAAATTCTCGCTGAAAATATTCCCCTGAATTAAAAAAATTTTGTTATAATGTTCAATTCATTTTTTTTCTCCTTTTCTTTCTTTTTTTTTTTAATTATCTCACTTTCAACAATTCCTTCGTCTTCTTTTTTTTTTACAAAAAAAATCTACATTGTTCATGTGGAACAATGCGTGTGTGTTGTTTAATTATTGCCGTGTAGTAGTTGTGTTGTCTATCTATCAGTTGACCAGAAGAATGTAAAACCAGACTAATTGAAAAAAAAATTACACGTCACTGACTAAAAAAATCACCGCCATCATTATTAGTGTAAGAGTATAAACTCTAGCAGCTAGCTGCTGCTAGCTAGCTAGCTGTATGACCATTGGATTTTGACTGAGGCACAGTTTTGTGTTTTCAAAGCATACCAAGTTATATCACTCATCAGCGCGTGTGTTTCAGTAGGAATTATTGATGATGATGACGACGATGATGATGATTAAAAGAAAAAGAGTTTTGACTTTTTTCTACCTTATCATTTTAATCCTGTCATATTTCCCTTGTTCTCTTTATTTTTTTGTACACAAAACTAATTTTTAACACGACTACTGCTGCCGCGGTCAAAGTCTTATTTATATTGTACAGTATTAATACTACTACTACTACTACTAAATTAGTTCTTGTGTTGATTATTTGCCTTTGAATTTCATATGCATTATGCATTATCGGTCACTGATAAATTTGTCATTGGTGGTTCTGATCAATTTTTACATAACCCCCTTGGTCCTTGATGATTAACTCTGTGAACAAGATATATATATATATATATCCTTGAGTCCTTTTATTAAACTATGCTTTAATCTGTATTGTCTATCTTGTTTGCTGTGCAAAACTACTACTACTACTTCTCATTAAGGATTCAGTTATACTCATGTATAAAAATACCAGTAGAAAAATGCATATAAATATACATACATACATACATATATATGGACCTTTTATTTTTTTGTATTTAAAATGTTCTGTTTCATTTGTGTCTATAGTCTCTCCTTCTTGGTAGTTATCATTCTTTGCATATTATTTTTAAATCTAAGCTTTTCTCACTGGCGTGTGATTTGCTGTGAATTCTTTTGTTCATTGTAAACTTTAGCCTATCCGTCTTTGTGTGTGTGTGTGTGTGTGCTGTATTCTTCTAAGACTGTTGGTTTTTTTTTCTCTCTCTCTTGGTTCTTCCAGTTATTCTTTTTAGTTTACCGTACATGTTTTCTTCTTCTCCTCGTCATTTGTCTTACTTGCTTATGAGGTGTTTTCTTGTGTGTGCGTGTGCGTGTGCGTGTGTAGATTTTCAAATATTTTATCTATAATTGATGAAAAAACAAACAAAAACAAACCGAATTGACTCCCTCCCCCTACTTTACTGCACTTTGTATAAACAAACAAATTTACCTTTGAATTATGAAATGTGTTTGAAGTTGGTTTTGCATCTTTTTTTTCGTCTGTATTCAGTGGGTTTTAGTTTTTCTGATCATTCCAAATCATATTTAAAGGTGGGATAGTGTTCAAATCTTAATTCTCGTTCTATGCGATCGCAACGTACATATTTCACTTCATGAGGATCATCATCGTTGCGGAAAACAAATCCGCGTACTTATATAATGTAATGCATATGCAAAACACGGCTGTTGTGTTGTAATCTCACTACACGAATACATTTGCGTGGAGTGATCAGTGCACTTTTGAATCTGAAATAGTGAATAGTAGATACCACTGGTTGCTTATCGCTCAGTAGTTGATTCTAAGTACTCATCGCCGAACAACATGACTTAATTGGCACTCAATCACAAACATGCTGATAATACACCAAACAACATTTTTGATTCAGACTCTGTGCCTTGTGCTTCAAACGTGTTTAAATCTCAAGTAAGTACTGAATGATTGGATTGTTTCGTCATGACTTATGCTTGGGTTACATTGAAACATATACAAGTTGTTATGAACTTGTCATGGGTGTGCCAGGGTGGTTTCCACCAGCGGGTCATGGAACACGAAGGGAGTAGTGGGATCGGGCAATCTTGCTTGAAACCCATTGCTGGAAAGAGAGCAGTGGTTTTGTGCTCACACTCCCCCTCGGAGGCTTCAAGATGTTATTATTTCGGACGTACGCTTGATCTACAGTCAAACCTTGTAAATAGTTCTGTACATTTTGTTACGTCGTAGAACCTCGTACGTACGTTCAGTTGCCATATCGCAGCAACGAGACGTTTTTGTGGCTTTAAATCCCATAGTAGCAGGTGTAGTACAAGTGCTAGAAGTAATCAAAAAGAGTAATGATCGAATATTTATTTAAAGTGAGCAGTAGTGTACGTCTCTGGTACACCTTTTAATGACAGACACTCCCACAGAGCCTCACGCTCATCGTGACCGAATGCCGCTTTAGGTACAGCTATCGTCCGTCGCCTAGACGTGCCTAGGACATGTCGTACGTGGCCTATACAGCCACGTCCGGGTCTGAAACCAGCCTGGTTCTCTCGGGTCTGCTCTTCACGGTCTCTAGATAGGCGCCCAGGTCTAATCGAGTCTAACAATTTAGACACTTATTAATCTGAATCCTCTGTGATTGTCACAAGAAAACGTCTTTTTTTATAAATTGGGACAACTAGTGATTGAGAATAGTCAGATGGAATTACGCCTCGTTCCCGAATTCTGCTTAAACTGGATTACCATCCTTAAAAATCTCAGGGGTCAGTCTATCAGGACCCGCTGCTCTCCATCGCTTTACATTTCCTATAGTTGTCTCAACTTCGAGTCGGCGCACTGACATTGATTTGCTATTCAGGTGGACTGCGGGTCGTGGGCAGCCGGAATGTGGCTGAGGGCCAATTAAACTGATCCCTAAAGTGCACTGCTCATCAATCTAATCTCCTAGATCGAGAGTGAGTTATAAGTCCATGCTTTTCCGACATAGTCTCAAGTACGTTTGGATTCCTAATACTGGATAGACATCACCTACATCGCTGCCTGTTTTTCTAGTTGTAGCAGAGATATATTAGCTGTTCTATCATTAAATGGAAATCTGAGAGGTTTCCTTTCACTGTCTTTCCTACGTCCAGTAAGCCCCATACAAATACGCGCTGGTGCTAGAGAGTCGTTTGAATCTAAACAAGTGCTCCAGTTTGAGAGGGAGTCTTCAATGGGGCCTCTCCAACAATGGATCATATCGATGTGATCTAGCTGGGCCCAGCGTTGGGGAGACTTCCTTGAAGTTAGTATTTGCTAGGAATAGGCGATTATCTGAGCATAGTTGCAGCAGCTGGTTACCATCATCCGTTCGATATAATAATAATAATATCCAACCGTGTCTTTCCTTCTTACTTAGTCTACCTACTTAAACGTCAGAGCGCCTAACTTTTTGAAGAACATTAGAGGTTTCAGTAAAACTCATCTTTATCTTGTCTGAGCTGCAGTCAGTGGGAGCGTGTTCAGAGACACCAAAGAGGCAACGGCTAGTGTCTATGTCATTCCGAGCCCTTGCTGTCTCGTTTAGTCAGACAGCACATAAACGACTGTCTACTGGAATCCAGTCTAGGAGAGCTAGTTCAGCCTAGTACTTGATACTATACCTAAACCAGCGGTGCCACCGGTAGCAGCAACAGGGCTTCCAGATACGAAGCGTAAACCGATTTTATCTGCGCAATGTGGAATCGAATTGGTGACTTTACTCAGATCTCGTATGCGCGTTTAGGAGATGCAATGCACATCGATGGTGTGGGATTCCAGAGTCCCAGTTAGGCAAGCCGAACGCCCTATTTGTCACAAGGTTCGAACATTGAAAGCTCCAATTTAGTACGAGGTTTCAGGATTAAGGTTTCGTGAGCGCAGACCGTTTGCTTCAGCGGCGCGAGGCGACAAACGATCGAGGAGATAAGAGAGTTATTAGGAGTTATAGAAAGGATTTAATTGTGACCGATTTGTTCTCGTGTGCTTTTAAAGGTATGAAGGCGAATGTCACTTCCCGGTTTATTATGCCGTGTAAGGGTCATTCTTGAAGATCCTGGAAAGCAAGTGTTGGTCATAGTGACCACAGAGCCAAAGGGACAACTACTTAAGATCGTTCACCCACGGTCTTTTATGAGAAGTTTTCAAGGTCTCAGCTTCGCTATTCAAGTGGCTTTGTCGACAGAGACTGGGAACCGCAGGTTAAGGTAGGGTGTGAAAGTTTAGGCGTTGATCTTTTCTAGCTCCTTATGTTATGTGTAGGCATCTCCGTTGCACATTCTTGTGTTCCAAGGGAAACACATTACTGCTGCCACACCTTCACAGTCAGCAGTACGACTACGCCCTCAGACATTACGCCTCTGCTCTTAGTCTTGCCATTCTTCAATCGATCTGCCTGTTATGGTAGGACCTACAGGAACATATGTTCCAGCCAATATAGCTCAACAGGGTCATCACGATAGGCTAACTCTACCAACACGTCAAGGCAACAGCTACAGTAAGAAAACTAACACACTTCTTCATCAAACAATCATCTGGTTCAAAGTTTGATAGCAAGCTTGAACATATGATTGGATTAGGAGGGTAAGGCATTTCTCTGACAAAATATCTCTAGAGATTCTACCTACTCTCTACAGAAGGATAGACTTTCGAAAAGGGTAATTTTCTTGGTTTTCTGTATCCTTCTATCTAATAGTATCCATCCACAATATAGAACTACAAACAAGTTTGTTGTTTTGTCTACTAATCGGGTGCTGTTACGGGTATGAGCGCGAATGTAATTTTCCGGCTATCTAGACCGTGGAAGGGTGCTTCTTGAGGAACCTGAAAAGGAAGGTAGATTAGTGTTAGTCTAAGAGACATGGGAGCGTGACAACAGAGTCCAAGGGATAACTGCTTGAGGCCTGTCAAGCACGGCCTTCTTATGAAAGGTTTTTTGAGTATTAGCTCCGCTCTTCTAAAGCCCTTAGTGGACAGCCCTTACCGCCAGAGACGGAAATCTGTGAGGTGCGACATTTTTAGAGTCGATCTTTTCTAACCCTTCCTTCCTGATGAGAAGGCA